TATATATATACACACTATAGGTGTGTGCAAAAAAAAGATTATGACTAAGAATTTTAGCATTTAAAAAAGCTTCTGTGTCTTCTGGTATTGATTTTTCTATTACAGGGGACAGTACAGCTTGTGTGTGTTTCCATTTTATTGATTTAGCAGACTCTTCTTTTCAAAGCACCTTAGGAGTGAAGAGGATTATGGAGGAGTATAGAGTTATATCACCAAAAGAGTTTGTAGCAAGCTTGTGGTACATGGAGGAGTTTGAATACCTTTTTTTAGAAGTGATTAAAATGTCCGAACACAGCAGAGGCCAACTCTGCTCAGGTGAGAAAAAGATTAATCCATGTCACAGGTATTACCCATGTTTATATATTTACTGCAAACAAGAGATGTTTGTGATTTATCTTCTCCTCTGAGTACCAGGCTAATAAATGAGGGTACAAGACAAGGAATCATGTTGGTTTGTGCACTGTTGCCAAGATGCTGTAGTTCTTGCCCACAGGCAATGATCGCTCTGATTAATCATGTTGTGTTTCATGGTAGAAAACATCTCTAACACAGTGCACAGGATGGCAGCAAGCAAGCAGGTAGTGGAGCCATACTGAGGTTATTTATTTCTAAACAAACCAGGTGTGATGAAGGAAGCGGAAGGTCAGATAAACTAAAATACCTGGAGAACAGACCAATCGGTTACAATATATGAACCAAACACAAATCACAAGGGAAATGAAACAAACCCTTTAAAACACAAAATTCATTAATAGACTGAACTCAAGTTTCCAACAAATCAATGCAATATTATAAAATGTTACCATGAGTGAGATGAATACAAGAAAGATTCATTCAGGCCAGGTGGAGGTTAGCTTATCACTGTGCTGCTTAGTTTGAAATCAAAACACTTGAAAATTAATCCTCAAAACATGCATTTTTTTCTAAATAGTTTGGTAACACAGAAAGGAAAAAAAGGGGAAGTCAAGTTGGACCTGCTAAGATACCAGTGGAGGTATGTTACAAATATGAAAAAGGATGATGTAGAGTTGTAGCAACTACAGGGGAATTAAGTTGATGAGCCACACGATGTAGATCTGTGAGAGAGTTGTGGAACCTTGACTTGGGCTAGATGTGGCTATATTTGAACAGCAGTATGTTTTTATGTCAAGAAAGAGCATCACAGCCGCCGTCTTTTCTTTGAGAATGATGATGGAGGAAAACAGAGAGGGTCGAGGGGAACTTCATTGTGTCTTTGCAGGTTTAGAAAAAGCAGATGGCAGGAAGCTGACGGAGGAGATGTGGTGTATGAGGACATGTGGAATGGCAGAGAAGTATGTTAGACTGGTATGTGACACGTATGAGGGCAATAGGAAAGTGGTGACAGTTTTAAGTCAGGGTTGGGCAATACTGACATAAAATTTTATCACAATTAATTGTGGCATTTAGCCTATAACAATTAATTGATGACAATTGCATTAGCACATGACCAATGTTGTGGCCTTGGTCCGAATTTTCTGGTTTTCCTCGTACACTGGTTTATGCTGGTGTTTCAGTAGAGTTAGCATTAACTGCGCCATGCCACCTTCCATCACTGGGCTCACATTCGCAGCTGATAGTGAGAGTGTGTCACACACAAAAGTATGTCCCCACGTAGCACTGATTTCAGTTATTGCAAAGTAATATTAATTGCTGACAGTTTTACTGACAATTAATTGCACACGATACATTTTTTCCCACCACTATCTCAAGGTGAAGGTGGGATTGTCTATGAGCCCCTTCCTGTTTGTGCTGGTGATGGGCAGACTAACAAATGAGGTCAGGATTATGATGTTTGCAGATGATATTGTGATCTCTGGTGAGAACAGAGAACAGGTGGAAGAGAACTTGGAGAGGTGGAGGTATGCATTTGAAGGAAGAGGAATGAAAGTTAGCTGTAGTAAGATAGAGTTCATGTGTGTGAACAAGAGGGAGGCAGGTGGAACAGTGGGGCTACGAGAAGCAGAGGCCACACAGGTGCAGAACCTGGGGTCCTCTGTCAAGATAAATGGAGAGTGTGGTAGCGAGGAGAAGAAGAAGAAGAAGAGAGTCAAAGCAGGATGGAGTGGATGGAGAAAAGTTTCAGTTGTGATTTGTGATAAAAGTGTGGTAAAGGTCAAAGGACCAGTTTACAAAAAGAGTAGTGAGACCAGCTTTGTTTTATGGTTTGGAGACAGAGACGTACAAAATGACGGGACAGAACTGGAAGTTTCAGAGATGAAGATGTTGAGGTTTTCCTTGGGTTTGACAGGAATGGATAAGATTAGGTCTATTCAGGGGTCCTGGAGAGGAGGGTCCGTCGGATAGTCGAACCTCGGATTCAGGAAGAGCAGTGTGGTTTTCGTCCTGGTCGTGGAACACTGGACCAGCTCTACACCCTCAGCAGGGTCCTGGAGGGTGCATGGGAGTTCGCCCAACCTGTCTACATGTGTTTTGTGGACTTGGAGAAGGCGTTCGACCGTGTCCCAAGGGGGGCCTTGTGGGGGGTTCTCCGGGAGTATGGGGTACCGGGCCCTTTGTTACGGGCTGTCAGGTCCTTGTACGACCGGTGTCAGAGTCTGGTTCGCATTGCCGGCAGTAAGTCGGGCTCGTTTCCGGTGAGAGTTGGACTCCGCCAAGGCTGCCCTTTGTCACCGATTCTGTTCATTACTTTCATGGACAGAATTTCTAGGCGCAGCCGAGGTGTTGAGGGGATCCGTTTTGGTGGCCTTAGGATCGCATCTCTGCTTTTTGCGGATGATGTGGTCCTGTTGGCTTCATCGGAATGAGATCTGCAGCTCTCGCTGGAGCGGTTCGCGGCCGAGTGCGAAGCGGCCGGGATGAGGCTCAGTGCCTCCAAATCCGAGGCCATGGTCTTGAGCCGGAAAAGGGCAGAGTGCCTTCTCCGGGTCAGGGGGGTCGCCCTGTCTCAAGTGGAGGAGTTTAAGTATCTGGGGATCTTGTTCACGAATGGGGGAAGAACGGAGCGGGAGATCGACAGGCGGATTGGCGCAGCGTCTGCTGTAAAGCGGGCGCTGTACCGGTCCGTCGTGGTGAAGAGAGAGCTGAGTCAGAAAGCGAAGCTCTCGATTTACCGGTCGATCTACGTTCCTACCCTCATCTATGGTCATGAGCTTTGGGTCATGACCGAAAGAACGAGGTCCCGGATACAAGCGGCCGAAATGAGTTTCCTCCGCAGGGTGGCTGGACTCTCCCTTAGAGATAGGGTGAGAAGCTCGGTCATCCGGGAGGGACTCAGAGTAGAGCCGCTGCTCCTCCACGTCGAGAGGAGCCAGTTGAGGTGGCTTGGGCATCTGGTAAGGATGCCTCCTGGACGCCTCCCTGGTGAGGTATTCCGGGCACGTCCCACCGGGAGGAGGCCCCGAGGAAGACCCAGGACACGCTGGAGGGACTATGTCTCTCGGCTGGCCTGGGAACGCCTTGGAGTTCCCCCGGAGGAGCTGGAAGAAGTGGCTGGGGAAAGGGAGGTCTGGGCCTCCCTTCTGAAGCTGCTGCCCCCGCGACCCGACCCCGGATAGGCGGAAGAAAATGGATGGATGGATGGATGGATGGATGGATGGATAAGATTAGGAATGAGATCATCAGTGTTACAGCTCAGGTTGAACAACTGAGAAAGTTAAAGAGACCAGACTGAGATGGTTTTGACATGTCCAGAGGAGGGAAAAAAGAGTCTACCTATTCTTAAGATGGACAATATATGCAGTTATGAGACAACATTCCAGCATTGATAAAAATGTCCCAGTTTGTCCCACAAGTGGCTGTTTAGAAGCTGTTTGCCCTACTTACAAGTATTATGTAATGTTTAGCAATTGTGCATCTAACTAGGGCAAGAAGTTGGACTACTGCTTTATTAAAAAGTCACACAAATAAGAATCAGCTGTGGAACTCAAAGTGTTTAAATGTGGAAACAGTCTGATTCATCCTTGCTCTGTACTGATAATAAAACTAAAGACATGTGTATTCTTTCTAGTGGAAGGATCCACTATAAGGAGATGTACAAAGTTGTACGCACAATCTCGCCTCCTCTGGGCTTTGGAAAGAACTGCCCTCACAGGGTGGCATGCAAGGTTTGGTTCCCCCATGTCAACAAACTTCCCCCCTCAGCCTCTGTTATGTGGGACCCTTCCTGATTTCCTCCTTTCCTTTCTTTTCATCTCGTCACAGATTACCTCCACCCTGCTTGACCTTTAGGGATGTGTTACTTATGTTAAAGAATGACAGTACTTCAGTCTCTGGGTACTAAGGTACAGGATGTCCCTCAGCAAAATCTCAAAGATTTTACAACCCTAATTCCAAAAAAAAGTTGCTTAAAATGTAAATTTTTTTCATGAAGTATGACTTGATAAGACTCTGTTTTATTTACATTTTACACAACCTATTTTGGGAAAAGACCATTTTGTAGTTAAAAGATTTTACAAATGTGCATGCCTAAAGCGAACTGAGCTCACGTTTATCAGGAAAACAATGAGGTTACTATGAAAATGCCATTGAAATTGAACAAATTCAACCAATAAATTTACCCATTTTACAGACCCGATGTATTTGCTCTGAACTGATTTGTGAAAGATTCGATTTTACATAAATCTCTACGCTATAAATCTGCTTTTTGAGCTCATTGAATTTACACAATGCCAATGGCAGTTTTATAGTTTTACAAGTAGACCTGTGTCCCAGAATAGTTAGGCTCTGCTAGTACTCGTAACTATGAAATGGTCTATTGGGGATGTACTTTAAACACTTAATCCAGGAGGACTTCTGTTTCTTTCTACCTTTTGGATCTGAGTTTAGCTCTGTTTTTTTCATTGCACTAGGTAGGTATTTAATCTCTGAACCAGATCCAGTGAGGCTGTCATTTTTTTTGCTTGTCCTGTTTAAGGAGTCTTGGCCTCCCAGATTTCTATGCAGTGTTGATGGCATAGAAAGAACAAAATCTGTTTTATTTACCCTACTTTACACTCTACTTGTGTGTGATGCCTTTTTAAAATAATCTTTTTCTTGTATCTCCTCCATCTTATTCCTTTTCTGTTCACCCCCCCCCCCCTTACCACTTTCATCCACCGTCCTTCGGGAATGCACTCCCTCCCCTCTTCACCATCCCTGTCACTTTCCTTACATCCTTCCTCTTCTTCCCTCTCTCTTGCTCCCTCCCTCTTCTTCATTCCCATTTTCATGGCTACCCGGCGCCCCTAGTGGCCGTATCCATTACACTGACATGTATGAGATGTTGACCAACATGTCACCACCTCTAGGCCTGGGCAAGAAATGCCCCTCCAAGGTGGCATATAAGGTAGACCGAGCGCCCCCAAGCCAGGCGCTGCCATTTTTTTAACGAGCTCTGAAATATGCAATGCAAAAAAAATTTTTTAAAACATCATCCTGTATGTATTTATTAGATAAATAAATCATGTTTTGTGTTGACTACATGAAGCAAAACTGCTTGTTGTAGTATTTGTCCATTGGCAGATAGCTCACTGCAATGATTTGCCTGTTTGCTTTGCACTTTGGCAGAAAAGTAAGACCTTTATGTGTTTACTGATGAAAAACGATCACTAATGCTGCTCATTTTGAGGCAGTGCGTATTAAATTATAAAGAAAACGTTGTTAAACATCTACATGCTAGATATGATTTGCTGTCAGTTGTTTCTCGTCTTTTTTTTTTTTTTTACTTCTCAGCCTTTAGTCACATTTACCCGTCTGCATGTGCATGCTGCCACAAGACTGTGTTGCACCGTTTCTTTTTGTACACAACATGTTTACCTGTTTGCAAGCAGGTTTGCAAGCTGGCTCAACTGCAAAATCAGCCTTAACTAGAAAAACAGAAAAATCGAAGACGATAATACTTCTTTTCTGAATATTTTGATTTCTTTTGGCAGCTTTTTATTTACAAAAAGCTTGCCTTATAATTACTTATTTATCCCAGGAAATAATTATATGGCTTTGCCCATCTGTATTCATCACTGTAGTTAAATTTTAAAGCTGATTTAATTTTAACAAAGTCATATAGCTACTTGCAAACTGAGCTGCAGGAAATGATGCGAATTATGTGGTTACACATAATTCTTTTAAGCCGGTTGCCTTGAAAACATGATTGAATTAGCTTATACATTTGTGACTTTTTGTTTTTCAGTTCAAAATCGGAATGAAATTAGTTCATTTGCTTCTTTATGATGACGTTAAACGGCCTTGAGTGGTGATTTTTGTTCCATGTAGAACAAGAGGCTTTGGAAAACTAGAGTACTAATAAATACGATTGTGGTATTGATAAACTGATGCTGTCCCTGTCCCCATCAGAGACTTGTTCTGATGAACATGCCTGTGGACGATGACATGACCGTCCACTTCACATCCACCCTCATGGCCCTCATCCGCACCGCCCTCGAGGTCAAAATAGCAAGAGGTCGGAAAAAACCGCTGAGTCAGAGACGGTGGATGTAATCTGATCTAAATCTGACAAACTCTCGCTAATCTGTGAGCATAATCACTTTTGTTTTAACTCCAGGAGGAGAAGATCGAAATCAAATGGATTTGGATCTGCAGAAGGAGATTGGGGTCATCTGGCCTCACCTGTCTCAAAAGAATCTGGACCTGCTGGTTCCGATCCACAAAGGTAATGCAGTTTTACCATCGGAGGGCTTTGGGTACAAGAGTATTTGAGTTTGTAATTTAGTTTTAAATGGTAATCATTGTGATGCCTTCACAGCCAGCGACATGACCATTGGGAAGATCTACGCCGCCATGATGATCATGGATTACTACAAGCAGAGCAAAGCTAAAAAGCTGCGACAGCAGCTAGAAGAACAGGTATTTTTTGTCATCATTCTTGGTTTTAATGCATTATTTTTGCATAAATTTGTATATACACTATGTAACATGTTTATTTTTCTTTTTTACTTTCTAAAACCTCTGAGCTTGTGCCATTTTTAATCTTTCTCTTTTAGCATACATGTTCATGAATTTGAATTGTTTAAAACTGAATAAAATTTAAACTGGGAACATTCTGACTGCAATCAAGATCATGTCGATCATCACAGTTTTTTTTGTAATATAGAAACTAAATTTAAGGGGGGGTGGTTTAAAAAAATACAGTAATAAGGTAAAGTTAAAAAATATATTTATTTATTTATCTAGTAAAACAAACAGCTTCCTTAATATACCATATTGTGGTTCTCCTGGACACATCATTAGTAATGTCCTGATGCATCTCAGTAATCCAGGTAAAAAATCAAAGGAAAAAAAATTGTATAGGTCCTCTGGACGGGTTCTTCTTTAATGAAACGTTTCGTCTCTCTTCCAAGAGACTTCTTCAGTCTGAGAGTTTCAGACAAAATTCAGGCTTTTATGTCCTGCCTCCAGGTGACTGATACTCACATCACATGACCATCGTTCACAGGTGGCTCACATCACCTGGCTATGGCTCACAGATGACTCATACTCACATCACATGGCTATCGTTCACCCTAATTAATACCTTTTGTTAACAGGGGGTGGAGTGATACTGCCAATGGCAGCGCTGTAGCAGGGGGACAGCTGAAAACGGAGGCCCCCACCTCTGTTTAATGGACGGTCTTTCTTCACAAAAATGGCTTCTTTTACTCCTCTCTCAAACCAACGTTCCTCTCTATCAAGAATGAGAACATCCTCATCTCTGAAAGAGTGACCGCTGGCCTGTAAATGAGTGAAAACTGCAGAGTTCTGGCCATTAGAATTAGCTCGTCTGTGTTGGGACATTCTTTTGAACAGTGGTTGCTTTGTTTCCCCGATGTATAACTGGTCGCAGTCCTCCTGGCTGCGACCAGTTGAAGAACCAGCTGAAGAACCCGTCCAGAGGACCTATACAATTTTTTTTCCTTTGATCATTAGTAATGTAACCTGGGATCATGGGGGATTTGGGTCTTTCAACAATCAGATCCCTAGTTTAGGCAACCCAAGCCCAAGCTTGTGTCCAAGCAGTGCCACCCTACCTATGCTTCTCCTGATCAACAACAAAACACCATTTCTGCTACGTTGGTAACTAACCTAACGGCTCTGCGCCGACTGGCCCACGAACCCTCTGCATCCCACCTCGATGGGTTCACATCTTGTCCACCATTCATTTCTCAAGCCTCTTTCTTTCCTCCATTTGGTTCTCCCGCAGAACAATGACCTCCAAGTTTGCAGCCTGCTTATCTGTGAGTTTGATGTCTGGCCTTAATGTTGTTTAGGCAACTGCTTTGGGACCTTCAGCTGCCTCCCCAATCTCCAGCTCCCATTGTCAACAGGCCAGAGGAGGTTTTCCTCAGCTCTGATAAAAACAATGGTTTTCTTCAGTGGGCGAAGGTGCTTCCAGTGGCTCATCCCACTGCAGATGGTATCTGCTATGTATAGATGATGGTGCCATCAGTAGAGCCACTTGCCCAGAACACTTAGACAACAGCTGAGGATATATTCCAGAATCCCTCTCTTCTGGCACAGAAGGTATACTAGTGTCCCCTCCCCAAACCCCATTCCCCAGATGAAGAGGTTGGAAGGTCTTGACAACACATCGTAAACAGCCTCTCCTCCTGTCCATCTTCTGCCGATTGTTTGTAGTCAGGTCACAAAGGCAACAGATCCAGGAGAGAAACCCAGACATCCTTCTTCCCAGAGATACTTTCCAGCTTGTTCTGATGGACCCCGAGGCGGTCCAAGGCCAGAGAGGATATATATAATCCCTATTAGGGATGTCCCGATCCAGATTTTTTGGCTCCCGATACAATCCGATTTTTTTAATGATTAGTCTTTCCGATACCGATCCGGTAGCTTTAATTCTTTATTTCTTTCCAAGTGACAAGGTTGGTAGTATTAAAGCGAGCCCTGCTGTTCCCACCATGAGAAACATCCAATTTGCAGATTTTGCAAGATGCAGTTTCAGCATCATTGTTTTCCATTGAAAAGTGTTCCCACACTGTGGACATGGCTGCATACTTGTGTGCGTCTTGACTTCTTAACGGCAGTTGTAAAGCATGATGATGCTGAAAACTGTCACGAAAACTGTATCGGCCCAATCACATGATTAAATCTGATTCTACCCGATTTTCAAAAAATGGCCATATCTGCCACTGATACCGATTCCAACTATCTGATTGGGACATCCCTAATCCCTATAGCAAGTCCTGGGTCTTCCCGACGGCCCCCCACCAGTGGGATGTGCCCGAAATACCTCTAACGAGAAACATCCTTATCAGATGAACCACCTCAACTGACTCCTGTTGATGCAGAGGAGCAGCGGCTCTACTTCGAGCCCTGCCCGGATGATGGAGCTCCTCATCCTTTCTCTAAGGCTTGTACCTGAGATCTTGTTATTTCAGTCATGATTCAAACCTTAAGACCACAGGTGAGGGTTGGAAGCTACACTGCTCCTCTTAAGTCTGACATTCGGCAATCAATCGGAGCCTGTCTTCCGGCACCCTGGAGTAAACTTTCCTGTAAACAGCCTATGAAGTAAAAACAAAAACAGGAGCATGCAGGGTTTTTAAAGCTTTTCAGTGAGCAAACCTGTAGATAGCTACATTTTCTCGGGTATTTTGTGTCTCCACAGAAACATGCTCCCATGTTCCAGCGTATGGACGCTTCTTCTCTCCCTCAAGAAATACTATGCAACGCCAAATCCCTGTCGTTCCTCAGGCACAGTGCCGGATCTGCTCTGTAAATATTCAACTTTTAATTTCCACACACACTTCTGCTGTGTGATGCGTGCGTGTGTTTACTCTCAGTGGTTATTCTCAGAAACTTGAGGACTTCTTTCTGTGTTCCCCCCAGCACCAGAGGGGGCTTTGTGGCACTCAGCCCCATTTCTCCACAGGAGATGTTCATGCAGCCGATGTCTCGGTCCAGAGGCGAGCGGGAGGAGGAGGAGGAAGACTATCACTCACCTTACCTCCCTTACCATCACCATCACCATCATTTACACACACTGGTGAGTGCCTAAAAAGATTCATGTTATCAGATCTTCAAAATACTTTTTTTTCTTCATTTTTGTCATTTATTGGTTGTGAATTAAATAAATAACCTCATTTTTACCAACAGTCATTTTTTATTCAGTGTGCCTCGTTGCGTGTATTGTGTTGCATTGATTCATAGGTTTTAGAAATAAGAAATGATCTTCCTCCATGGTGTGCGTGTAGGTGCCAGAGGTTGTGGAGTACAACCAAGTGATTCAGCAGGCCCAGCAGGACCCAACAATTATTAAATCACCACAGCGCACTGCTTCTATCAGAGCATCCTCCATGCCCAGACTGGCTGTTGATCCGCAGGTAATGAAAAATAACACCTTGTTTTTCAATTCAATGAGAAAACCAGAAGCACTCGGTATGCTCGTGTTTGTGGTCTGATTGCACCAAATAAAAAAAATAATTAGCTTGCAAAGGAAACCACACCCCTTACAGGCAGCACAGGCGTTATTTAAAAGATTGATTCTTCTGGTTGTTTTGCAACGCGTGCAGCCGGGGCTGTCAGCAGACAGCAAGCTGATGAAACGCTCCTTCTCCACCATCGGAGATCAGTGCGTGAACGGCCTCTGGCAGGAGCAGCACTCTCTGGAGAGGATCAGTCCAGATGACACATTCAGAACCCGGCAGAGGAGCTACAGAGGTGACTGAAACAACACATCCTGTTGTTTGTTTTTATCATTTTAAATCTTCTCGTTTTAAAAGACAGAAAAATCGAGGAACTAAACTGGGCAGAATGCATAAATTCAGCTCTTTTTAACACCAAAAATAGGAGCCTTTCGTGCTGATTAAAAATCATTCTGAATATTGATTTTTGTTTAAATGTCGTCTCTTCATTGATGGAAACTCGAGTGACTATTTTGATTGCTAAACAGACAGAAATAGAACTGAAAATAGATGAAAGATGCGTATGTGTTTTTCATAACAATCCTAAAATCAGTAGGTGTTTTTATTTATTTTATTTATTTATTTTGCACAAGTGCTAAATCAGAACACCTTGGGATGAATCATGTTCTTCACAGCGATGGTGCAAACACAAAAGCTAAACAGACCATTTATGAACACAAGCCTTTAAAACTACAGTAGGAAAAGCTTTTTACAAACTTATAAAAAACAATTTAGATTAAAACACAGATGAGGTTAGAGATTTTGATTTAAATAAATGTCATATGAATGAGTCTACCTGAAAAGGTGTGTTTAAGCCTGAATCTGAAAATGTGACACTTCTGTTTTTGCTGGCTCTAAACAGACCCTCGAATCAGCCCCCGAGAAACCAGCAGTCATGAAAGAGGGCGATCGAAGGAACGCCGCCACCTGCTGTCTCCTGACGTGTCCCGCTGCAACTCGGAGGAGCGAAGCCGGGAGCCGTCTTACGAGCGAGGACGATCCCGCTCGCCAAGCGGAGGACGCACACCTGGCTTACAGGAACAGGTGGGCGTGCACACGACCCACTAAACCAGAGGTCTTCAACAGTGGGGTCACGACCCATAGTGGGTTTGTAGAGGTAGTCCAGTGGGGTCATGAAGTTTTTGGTTAGTTAGACTTTTTATGTGCAATTATTTTTATATATTCTATATTTTTTATTTTATTATAAGTTCTGTCTTTAAACACACATTACAATGAATCCAACATGTAGCAAACTGATAAATGGATTCATAAAATAATGTATTTCAGTCAGAAACGCACACATTCAGTGAGCACACCAGCTGAACTCTGCTCCACTCACAGCCTGAACCTCAATTTATTTTGCACAGAAAGAGAAGGACCCGCCTCTAGACGGGGCGGGCCATGTGACCCTGTTAGTGTTTTTGCTCTGTCAGGTTCACAGTCATTGGTTGAGAGCCTATTAGTGTTAGGTCATTATAAAACACACGCAAAAAAATTCAATGTTCTGATCCAATATCAATATCGGATATTATTTAATAATTGTTTTATTGAATTGTAGAGTGTTTTGTTTTACCTGAGCAAGAGTTTTTCTAACATTCTACACTACAAAATAAGTAAGGAAAGTATGTAAGATTCTTTCTGATATTGTATCGAGCCGATATCGGCCAATACCCAAGGCTGCAATATTGGTATTGTATTGGAAGTGAAAAATTGTATCTGGACACCCCTAATACTTAGCACAATTTACACAACTTATTTTTTGTGCCATGTATGTATACAAATGTATGTTGGGGGTCCCCAGACTAAAAAACGTTGACCAATGCATTAATTTTTTTAAATTATTTTATTCCTTTTCTAAAAATGCAGAAGGATTTGTCAGACATTCATCATTAGTAATGATTATATTTATTTTAAAATGTCACGCTGGAAGTAAAACAAGGTGCAGCAT